AGCATTATTTCATGAGTTTTTACACCCACTGCACTGAAATAAAAGAGTTGACAACATAAAATGCACTTTAGGGAAAACTCTTACGTTGAGTCGCGATGAGTTGATTCATTTACATTATGTAAAATGTAAACAAGAAAAAAAAAACTTTAAAGTTATTATCATAAGTAAAATAATTGAATGGTTCAATACCTTTATATGTTAAACGCATCTTACCTTTCAGTTTATCAAAAAATGACGGCGATGACCACTTACGATTTTTTTTTATTTCTCGTCTCATTTAAATAAAATAGTTTTGAAATATTTCTATTTAAAAAGACTTCATTTATATTCATATATTGGTTTGTAAGGATTGTACAAATCCAAGATCCTCCGTATTCTCAAAACCGATAATTTTAAAGCCATGTTTAGTTTACTAAACTAATCTATATGATATGCAATTTTTGACGAAGTAAAGCTCCAGTCTTCCCGGTTTATTGATTGAACAAAAATGACTACAATTGACTGCTATACCTATTTTTCTGTCAAAACTACAAACAAGTACTTCACACAAGAATGGAGGATTTCTGGTGGGAAAGCCAAATYCCCGCAGGTTCCTTGATGACATGAAAGAACAATGAGCTCATAAAGCCAAAGGTTAAAATCTTGGGGTCGAAAGATTTCAATTTGGAAGCAAAGCCAGTTTGAATCTACACTCCAAAGGATAAAGAGCATATCAGGTACGTTGTAGTGAATATATCAGCTAGTACGACTTTTCTACAATGTAGGGGCCGGTTCACAAATTGAAAAGTATACTTCATAATAGCATAATTTATATATAATTATATGATAAACAGAATATTACGTGTGCGCACGGAGATACGACTTTTATCTTCTTTGTTGTTGAATTAAATCTTGTTACGCTCACTCGTGAGAGATCGTTTCAACACTCGAAGATAAAATCCTTATCCCCGCGCGCCCATGTAATTTCTTCCTTTTTTTGGAGGAAATATGCGCCTTTTTATAATCTTTTACAAAGCCCACCCCTTTTATCGTGGATGCCTCCCGCAAAAACAATAGGTAAATAACACATGCAAGACATAAGAAGGCCTTGTAGCTGAGAATTAGCTAAAAATTACACAAAATAAGATACTATTAATTTATTGTTTACATTTTATTTTTCAATTCATTATGACCGTTTCAGTAATTTTTCATCTTTGTTATGTCCTATTGTTTTAACTAACTGGGAAAAATATGACAGTAATTTGATGCAATAAGCTCAGTCTCTTTGATAGCGTTTCAGAAATGATGCTTGTGGGACACGTGCTGGCTGTGTTGGCAGTCTCTATGTTCAGTTGCAGTAAGTATATTAAGTATATTACTGTTCGACCATTTATGAGCTTTAAAACTGTTTAAAACCGCTTACATATTACGTAGACATTGCTCAAGAGCTTAGCGATTACTGAAAAAGTCAACGAAACCTCTTTGATTTGTTATGCTTGGGGAAAAATTGAAAGTAATATGTCAGAAATAAAAACTAGAATAGAACCTCGTCGCTGTTGTTGTTAAATTGATAGATTTTTTTTACTTTTTTTTGCCTTTTTAATCATTTATGGGTTATTGTTTAGACTTACTATTTTCCATCACTTTTATTTTTCCATTCAACATTTTTTGCATTTCACATTTTTTCAAGCTATGGCTATTGACGGTAACGTAACAAGCAACGAGACAAAAGGTAAGAAAGAAAAACAGAGTTAAGCAAACACATAATAGAATAGCTCAAAAAACTCTCAACATTTAACTAATTTACGCATTGATAGGCCTAATTCACGATAGCTGCCATGGTAACGATCGTATTGTAATGCATGTTTGCCACGCTGTCTTCTTCGAGTTTAAAAAAATCGAAAGAAAACTATAAATAAAACTATAAATTTGTTATGCTAGAAGTCTCAATATTTAGCAATMTTATCTTATTTTTCACATTTGTATGTATGAGCTATTTTTGTGGAATAATATTCCCAGGTTTTAGGGCTTAAAAAGGTCTAAAACTTCCAGAAATTGTAGAGAACCGATAGAACAAGCAAATCAACATGTCGGCCATGTTCAATTAGAGACCAGGCCCCTAGCAAAAACCAAGGAAGCCCAAACCACAGCGATCCCAAGCGAATGTATAGCGATTGTTTGGTAGTGATTTTTATGGTCATAGCAAATCAGTTTAGGCTTATTATGAATATTCTTGGATAAAACCTTTTTTATTTATGAACATAAATTTGTCAGCATYGAGACCAATTCATCAGTTTGGCATTTTTTGCAACAACAACAACAACAACAAAAAATGATTTTCAAAACTAAAAACTGATAAGCGTGCATGAAATGATGTTRTTTGCGTCCTAGCAGATCGCATGGCTAGTGTGCATTTCAATTTGAAAACTACCATGGCAATTTTTATGAATAAAACTAGTAGCATATTCACTTCTACTTAGTAGGTCTTTATTTTTAAGTAATATCTTGGTTATCTAGCCTAAATTATTGAAATTTCGTAAAAAAAAACCCTTCAGTTTCATGAAATGAAAAAAAAAAAAAAAAATTAGATAATATACAAATAAACTGTTTGCTAGCCTCATTTAATCTGAGCGCAAAATGATTTCTTATCGTTTTATTTCTTCTGTTTTCTTTAGCAGTAGATGAAATGCACAACCTCAAATGTAAGTAACGCAGATATTAAACTAGTTGAAAAAAGATACTAGATTACAGTATAACTGTTTTGTAACAGGATTTTTTGGTTACATATAACACTTCACTGGTTTATAATTGCTTGCTTGCTTGCTTGCTTGCTTGCTTGCTTGCTTGCTTCTAGAATCATTTTTTTTTTGCATTCACTAATTTATTCAAATATAATTCAGGTCAAAATTTCAAAGTTTCGATCCGTCTTCTTAAACCTCCTTCAGAGCCAAGAGGTAGTGAGGGATATGATAAAATGGAGTGCAACATTTGTGAGAACGTAAGTACATTATATAAGTGATAAAACATTGCCAAACGTTTGAATTTTTTTTTCTCTTTCACGCCTAAGAAAATAATCTTCTTCTGCTAGGTTAAACTCATCTACAGATGCTACCCGTGCTTTCAATCTTTGAAATTTATCGGTTTAAAGTAAGTATTAACCAATTTTTACATCTAAAACGTTTTGTGAGGGAGATTGCAGAATATACGACAGCAAGTCACTGTGCGTTTTTGATTTGTAATGACGATGTCCACCCACCAAAGACAGTCAATACTGTGCATGAAAGACTCTTCTCTAATTAAACCTAAAAAATTCGTAGGTTTTGTATTATATTAGAAAAGGATTACTTGTAATTTTTGTCATGAAATAGGCATCTTCCTGACAACACAACTGCAGCAACCTTTGTCATGAATTTTGGCTGTGAAGGACGACATCTAAGAGTCTTGGAATCTGTTTTGAAAAATGGCAGCATTGTAAGCGCTGGTAAGAAGAACTGCTGCATTCAATCATTGTTTATTTTAATATCTTGACACGTTTTCATATCAAACAATTGTTTCGGAAAAAATCGTTTGCCAAACTCTTGCTGACCATATATGCTAATCTTACCTTATAAGGAAGTACGAGCTTTTCCCACCTTTTAGTGCTTTAAAATGGCTAAAACGTACAGAATTTGCAGAGAAATTGCTTGTCAACATATCGGTCATTATAAATTTGTCCTAGTCACCTCCCATCCTTGAAAATAAGGGATCCAACAAAAAACACGCGAATGTTAGACAATTGTTTGATGAACAAATGATGGAGGAAGCTATCCACCAGATAACGCCCTCCTTACCATATATTTTAGCCTGGATATTATTATTTGTCGGATATGAATTCAGTACCAGCAGGTTATTCATCCTTCATACAACTGACCCTGATGTCTAAATAAAGAATCATGTATGAGAGATGTAAACTTGAAATAAGCGGTCCTTCAGTATTCTGCTAATCTTCAATCGCAAGTTAAGTTCTAATAGGTTTCTTTGTGGTCAAATTTTAGAGAAAAGCCAAATCAGCATCAAATGATACTCACTACCTGATGTTTCATCATATATTTCAGCAAGTCACTTCCTCACATTTCTTTCTTGTAATTCCAGATTGCTTCGAAGCAGAGTGTCCTCCAGAATCACCAGAAATCCATCTTGTCCAGCCATGCATAACACCTGCTATTACCCAGTGTTCAACGCAAGTTTGCCAAGCACCTGAAACCTACAGCGTAACACCCTAYCCCACTGACTGCCCCCCAGCTGTACCCCCACAGATTCCCATGATACCACCTCACGAACCAAAACCAATCCCAGCACCACAAGTTRTCCATCACATCACTTACCCAGTCGCCAATTCCCCGTACCCAGATCCCTACAACCACGTAACGGAACACTATGTTCMCACAACTGTTGAACCCCCAACTGACGGTCACCAAGGTGAAGCACCACCGGAGAACCACAAGGTGAGAGACCTACAAAAGTGATAATTGCGATTCGAATATATTAGTGTATATGTGAAAAACTGTAGGGGAACCTGCAGGGTCTTTGTAGCTCAGAGTTAAACCATAAGACAACTTTCAGAATTATTTCTCTGATTATGTGTTTTGTGGTTCTCAATGCAACACGACATGAGTTTTACAGAATCATACAAAATAATATCAAAGTTTTCTTACAAAAACTGGTGCTACCTAATATTCGTATGTTTTCAGATATCCCCGTTTTTGCGTAAAGAAAAAGAAGTAAGCCAAAATAAGATGAAAGTCTATCCGAATAAATAATTTTGAGGGAGATTTTCATCCTAGAAATGAAAGTAGAGTTGCTGTATTTCAGTTTTAATTCAAAAACATCATTAGGTAGTGACTAAAACAGTGAGCTACAATGATACCATATTCCAACAAGGTGATGTCATTCCTTAAATGATTTTTTTTAACAAGGAGCAAGACAAGCAAGATGACGAGAAGCCTTCCGATGAACCAAATCAAGAAAAAGAGAACAAGGAAGAGAACAAACCAGCTCAGCCACAAGCAGTCGGTGTTTTTGGACAGACCTTTGTCAATGGACAATTACAACCAMCTTATCCACCCGTACAAGGAAACCTTCCTGGCCAATCAGGGCTGCCTCATCTCCCATACCCTCTCCAGCAACCTTTGGCCATTCCAGGSCAGGTCCCTGCTCCAGTCMCRTACCCTTTCGGAGCATGTCATCCAAACTGCGCCCACTCATGCTCAATGAACTGCCACCCAGCATGCTGTAGGTCCAAGTTTGCGCCCAAAACACGCTATAGAGCGTATTTGCAGAAGCTGAAAGCCATCCAGGGATAATAATTTATTAACATAAATATATTAGAATTATGCTACAATGAATTGAAACAGAATGCGAAATAAATATCAGTAGAAGTTATCGATTTGACAATATGAAAGATTTTATAGGYTGATCAATATTTCTACCTTTTGCGAAATGGTATTGCATAAGGTGCCAAGAAGATAAACAGTCTTTGAATCTGGATTTAATACCTTGTTATAACGAAGTTTAAATGAGTAATTTCGATTCGTGTATATACTTTAGACACGTCCTGTATTTTGAATAGCGTTTAAGTCGCTAAGGGAATTACACATATTATCTCTTGGGATGAATTATTATTAATTGTTATTTTAATGTATAGGACTGTACATTTTGAACTGGATTGGTGAGTTAACAAATTGAAATAAAATGTTGACATTCATACAGTGTTTCTGGATATTTGTGGATCTGTTCAAACAAAATATCCACATGCTTGTAACAACTTTCCCAGTGTTGTCGCTTGTTAAGTATGCTGTCATTTTTTTTGATGTCGACCAATGGTTAAAATCTAAAATCGGAGATAAACCACAAGCTGGAGCATGCGCAGTACTAAATATTGAGTACCAAAAACTTGTTTATGTACAATGTTATTAATATTTTGYGATAAGAAAAACTAAAATATAAAATGATAAGAAAAGAAAAAGAAAGCAAAATATGAATTTTTTTCTTGAAAATTTTGTGTGCTTTGAGTAAATTTGTTAGATTCACTCAATTTAAAAAAAATTAAATTCTCAATTTATGCATTTAAGAAAAAGTGAAAACTTCAACTTTTAGTCGTAAATCATTTAACACTTTATTTAATTGCGTAGAAAGGTAGAAAGAAAGAAMGAACGGGAACACTTTTTTGAGGTGCTTGCGTGTGTTCGTCAGATTGTTGAAGTCTCTGAAAAACGACGCAAAAAAAGCGACACGTAAACATCTATTTGGATTTATAGGCAATCCCAAACACTCAAGACTACTCTCAGACACTTAATAAAAACAATTSGACATTTGTTTCCAAAATAACCGAGCGAAAGTTAAACAAATTTTCCTATAAATCTTCCTTTACAAAAAGCTCTTACAACCCTCTTAAGTACAAATTGTTTTTCAAGTTTCAAAACATTKAAAAYCGTTACATTATAAGAGCCATTGGTGAAATGTTATTTTAAAATCTTGCGAGAAACAAGACAGGAAGTTTTTAGATGGAGTGAATACGTGAATTCCCGCCGCTTGATCTGAATATCTATTTTTAAGTCGGAAATAAAACGATATAGGAAATGGAAATAGCTTTATGCCGACAAAATTAAATCGATAGCTTGTTGCGAAGCTGAAAACGAGATTTTGTACTTTGGCAAAGTTGACATTTATCGGTAGAAAAATTATAAAGATTTGTTATTTAAAAATTGCTGTGTGAGTAAAATGGATAAAACGCCGTGTAAGGTTCTAAGGCTAAAAACTTCCTAAAACGTTATTTATTCTAAAACTTTATTCTAAAGACGCGTGAGGGAGATTCGGGGAGGTTCTACATTGCTTAGTTAGTCATCCAGACTTTCTGAATATTAATTCAAACTATTATAAGCATTTCGATTAGGTAATTCCATAAATAAAAGAACAATATCTCAGAATGGGTCTCAATTTTGAAAAATATCTAAGAAAGCGATCTTGTCTTCCGCAGTTGTTAACATAGCTTTTAGAGTTTGTTTTCTACATTCCTTCCCTTTTAAATTCCGTGGCGATACCACATTGTTTCTTTGATTCAAAGCAAGAGACGCGCAAAGTTGAAAAAGCTGCTGCGAGGTTGGTAATACACTAGTGACTGAAAAACCCGAAAAATAGAGCGATTTTTTTTATTATTATTTTGATTTACACAGTAATATGTATTTATTAATGAATCACTGCTATATTAGCCAGAAATTTCTACATTTCCTTTACTGAACAAGTTGGTAGTTTTGCAAAACCATCGGAACGTTCTCCTCTTTCTAGAGAAAAAGCTTTCTGCGAACTGAAGAATTTATTCAGTCAATCGAAARCGTTACTACCTGACTTTAGGTCAAATTCTTCTCTGTAAGAATTTTCTGAGATATAAWTTATTGTGTCAATCGAAAACATATAACGCTCATGATTTTGGCTCAAAAATCTTCTCTTTAAGAATGTCTGATAAGCCGGATATAGCGTWAGCTTATCTCAGTTTCTTTTAAGTTCTAGCCGACGTAAATTTGTGCGTCGATGATTGCGTACAGCATTGGATCCCGCGTTTTCAAGATTCCAATCTGTTTTATTAGTTTGCGGGGTCAGTTTMGTTGCACGTCTGTTCGTATTTTCTACTCTAAGTGGAATTTACTTTTTATTTGAGCTACAAATGTAAACTTTAGATTTGTTTATCTTAAAAACTTTGTTGTTTTCATAGGTTTAGTTTAATAATTAAGTTATGTTTGGGGATTTACACTAGAAGAAATATTAATATTCACACAGTAAAAAATATTAAGTCCATCCCAAAAGATCAAAGATGTGAAATCTCAACTATCATATGGAAAAGTGTGAAAATGATATCTAAATGTGCAGTACAAATTGAAGAATTATTGGAAATTTAATTAGTAGAAAATTTATAGATATTTTTTCAGGAGTTGCATAAAAAGAGACAACATCCAAATTTAAGACTTCGAGTACTTATTTTTTAAACTCCGTTTTAAATATATTTTAAACGAAATTTTTACATTTTTTGATATACTATGAAAATCATGTACTTTTGATATATTTTAACCTTAATGATACTTTTTCRAATATATATTATTTCTATTTCGATAGGAACTTGGTTTAAAGGAAGCATTTTAGCATTTGATGAATTTCGCAAGTTGCGGTCGCCATATCAGATTTTCTTCCGTGGCAACTAATGTTTCGTATTCATGTCATGGCATTAAATTGCTGCCATATTCAATGGGTTGTAAAATAATTTCTTTACTATAATTTGAACTTTCTTTACATACATTTTGGAACTTGAGTTTTTAAAGGTTTATTCAGCCTCTAGATAAATCATTCTTAGCCTGTTTTAATTCTAAATCACATGTTCCAAAAAYGTGATTCGTTAAGACAKATGGCGCCTAAAATGTATAATGTRGATTTAAATGACAGAGTTTAGCGTTTTRTKGCTTGTTCCTTTAATCYGTTCCAGCGGCTCTAGACAATTTCCTTTCGACTGTATTTTCAAWAGAATTGGATTTTAAATGACTGTCAAAAGCTACGACAAAAGAATWTATTTTCAGAAGTGCGTTATCGAAGTTAATCAAAAGACTGATTTAAAACACTTGACAATGAAGTTGTCAATCGATCAGATTAATTCTTGCTCATAAAAACTTTAATTTGGTGCATTAAACTAAATCAACTTTRAAAACATATTGGATTTCAGTATTTAAGAAAGGTTTTCCGATGGCGCTAGCCTGCGTCAGATTAGTTTCGACTGACATCATTTCACATCTGGCTTTGTTCTCCTTTTTGCTTTGTTCAGATTTTTTCTCGCCGCCTTCAACTTCTTTCTTGTTCTTGTTCTTGATCTTCTTGTTCTTCTTGTTCTTCTTGTTCTTCTTGTTCTTCTTGTTCTTCTTGTTCTTCTTGTTCTTCTTGTTCTTCTTGTTCTTCTTGTTCTTCTTGTTCTTCTTGTTCTTCTTGTTCTTCTTGTTCTTCTTGTTCTTCTTGTTCTTCTTGTTCTTCTTGTTCTTCTTGTTCTTCTTGTTCTTCTTGTTCTTCTTGTTCTTCTTGTTCTCTT